GTGCAGATGTTGATAACAGTGGCAATTGCATATAAGTTTGCATGGTCTTGGGGTGGTTGGTTCCCAGTGAGATTTTTCCTCTTCAAGTTCAATCTGCAGCTCAGAGTATCAATGTTTCCACCAACATGATCTTCTCCTTGCCATTGCTCAAATTTTCACTGCCATTTTATGTCACATGAAGTTTGGATTGTTCATTTTCTTTTGGATTTTTTGTAGTAGTCATGAATATCTTCATCTACAAACTTTTGTCAGAAACTAAAGAAGTTCCAATAGAAGAGATTGCGTGTGGCAAAAACACCTTTACTGAAAAAGATTTGTCAAGCCGGCTGACAAGCAACCCCACTTTGAGTGTTAGTGTAATTTTCTATTATTTTAATCTATAATTTTTTATTTTTTTATTTTTTGTATTAGCAACATTCTGTTTAAATGTGTTGATTGTGGTAGTATTTTAAAGTTATCATTATGAATAATATTATTGCATTTTAAAATTTTGAAATGACATTTGTCTTACATTGAATTTTCAAATATTTAATTTACTCTTATATATATTAAAGATGAACAATTATTTTTTTTATGAATATTTATTTAAGAGTTTTTTTATTGAGTTTATAGTTTTTTAACTTATTATTTAATTCAATTTTTATTTATTATATTACTTATGAAATAAGTTTTAATATGTTTAAAATAAATTATTCGTATCTAAAAATAATATCATCAAAATATAAAATATATATTATAAATAATTTAAAATTCATTTTAAAATATTTATTTATATAAATTTTTAATATAATTTATATTTTTAAATAATATATATTTATATATATAATTTAGCTATATATAATAAACATTTAATCTTACATGTGTTAAAATATTACTTCTTTTTAAGGACGTTCATCAAACAAAATTATTTTAAATAATTTTTATTATGATCCAAGATTATGTTTAACTAATTGATAATTTGTTTATAGAACATGTAAATTTAATTTAAAAATAAATATGAAAATGATATTGAAAGTGATAAATAGTTAAAATATTATACATATAAAAATAAAAGGAGAATGGCTTGAGATAGTCAAATTTTTAGCTAGTTGTTAAATCAAGTAAAGTTTTAATTAAATTTAAGAAACATATTTTAAAGGAATAAAAAAATATATAAAATACCCTATATATGATATTACGAAAATACATGTGGATCAATGATCTAAAAATATGATAATATGCTATTTAAAAGGTGTTTTCATACTATATTAATTACAACCTCTTTTCTCCTTTACTGGCTAGTGCTCAGCAAAGACACCAGATGAATATTGCATATATACATCCACTGCCACCTGCTTCCCCTTCAATCTGGGACATAAGCAGTTACAAAAGTATCGATTTCACGCATTGTAGTGATGAGAAAGGTCATCCTACTGTGAAACGAACTTCCCTGAAATTCTTTCCAAGTATATACGACGCTCAATGGTGTCCAGAGGTCTAAATTTCACTCATGACTCCGGTGCTAATCCATTTGCCTCATATAATAACTATTTTTTTAATCTCACTTATGTTTTACCGAAAGAAGAAAAAGAGAGTTGGAAATAATGGATGAGAATTAATTTGATAAAAGTATATGTAAAATAGTGTGTAATAGAGTGAAATTTGTAGTTTAGTAGAGTAAAATTAGGTGAAAAAAATGAAATTAATATTTTTAAGTTATATTTTATATAACTGAATTTATGTAAAATAAATTTTACTTATAATTATTATTTTACCTTCTCTTTATAATATAATTTAAAATATTATTTTTTACGTATCGTAATTTTATATGTCTCTCAAATTTCACAATAATCCTGCCCATTAAAATGATATATAAAATAATTCACTTCTAATTTCTTATAATTCTCTTTAAATACTATTCATCGAACACAAATATTTTATTTTATCTATTATAATTCCTATTAAATCACTCCCACTAAATAAAAACTTAATGGAGGAACTCAAACTCCCTAATCCACACAACTCTAAATAAAAGAGAGTCATGATTAGGACTAGGGCTAGGGCTAAAAGGGTTTAATCCTCCACTTATCACATAGAAGTATTCTCAAATGTAAAATCTGAAACATGCTTATTTTAATTAAATCACACGTACATATATATAATTTTATATTATTCTAATATTATTTAATTTAAAATTTTATCTGAATTCATAAATTCATGTGTATAAAACTTTATATTAAATAATTTTAAATTAATATAAAATATTATGTATATATATAATTTAAGAGAAAAAAACTTTTAATCTAATAGTAAATTTTGAATAGTATATAAATAATTTTTTTAAGAAGAAATTAATTTTCTACTACAGAAAACTTAATTTTATGCAACTATAAGTTACAAAATTTGTTTGAATAACTAATAGTATTTCTTTATGAAAAACTTCTATTTACAATTGCTTAAAATTATAAATAGATATGAGGATCGGTTCATATTTGACATGATATCTAGTGAAACTTTACTAATTTAATGTTTAAATGTGCAATCAAGTATAACAGTGCTTTTGAAATTTTCAAAGACTCGAAAACATCAAGTATTTGTTTATGATTATTCTTTATTAGTTTATATGTTTATCTTAAATTTATAAATAAATAAAAATGTGGTCACCTTAATTTTGATTAAAATGATAATTTTTAAATCATTTATATTGGTTAAACATTATTTCTAATTTGAAATAAACTTATCTTATTTTAAAGATTTGTTTACAAAAAAAAGTTTAAAAACAAAGGAAATTTATTTCATAAAATGGATTAATTAGTGTATGGAGTGAGATTATACAATGAACTATAATTACTTTTTAACAGTTGAATATTATTATTTTTATTAAAAAAAATAAAGAAAGAAAAAATGCTGGCCAATGGCTGGCCTTAGCCCATAGGACTTTGTGACTTTTTGACTTTTTTATAAGAGAGCTTTCTGATCCTATGAACTTTTTTGTCCTGGCCCATGAGAGCCAAAGCTTTGGAGGATGAGCTGGACCAATTTTGGGTTACTGTTTTGGTGCCCACTGTCCAAACATGTTATAATTCTTTACTTTAAAAGAAATATACTGAAAACAACTTGTTTCATAGATCCAAAACTGACTTTGAAGTGCTAAATAAATTTGTGTATTTATTTAAACAAAACAGTAATTGAAGCTTAGGACACACTCATCAGAAGTTGTTTCGAACCACAATCTGACTTCCACCACCAAACAGATGACCGAAATAGAAATCCAAATTCAAAAATGATGCAAGTAAACAGAAATCAGACCAAAAACCACAAGTCTCCTCAAAATCAGAACCAGGGTAGAGACATTATAATAAGATTCCAAAAGTTTCCGGTGGTTTTTAAAACACGAACCAGAACAGAATAATACTCAAGATACTCTATAGAACTTTTAAACACAACTAGAAGTTAGAGCTAGAAATCCAGGATAGGACAAAAATTAAGACATGTCAAAATGTTTTAAATAGACATAGCAGAACAGAATTGAAAATGCTTCATAAAGGTTCATACTTCAAAATAAGAAAAATAAAACAGAAATCACAGGATTCCCCGAGTTAAGAAACCAGAATAAAATTTGAGATACTTAACAAGGTTTTGAATAACATCTAAACCAGAAAACCAAAGTATCAAAATAGGGAATCCAAAAACAAGTTTAAAATGGTACTATAGTGCTATAAAATAACCAACTCAGAAATCAAGCGGAAGACATCAAATTGTACATCTTAAAATTTAAGGGCCTTCGTTAATCTATATCTATATATAAAAATGATTCTCATTTTCATATAAAAGCCTCCCGAACATAACCAGATGCTTCCAGACCATCACATACTTGGTGAATTAGGAATGAGAAAAGGGAGAAATTTGTATAACTCCTAAAATCAGACTTTATCAATATACACACATTGAGAAATCAGAACTCAGAAGTCAGAACACTGAATTTGATAAAACATACTTTCCATAACTTCTTAGAACAAACATACTCGTAACATAGCTTACACGGAAAATTAAGAATTTATTACCTTTTTATTCTCATTATCATTTTCCTATTTGTGAGATTGAACCTGAGACTCTAGAACATACTACCCTCCTTAGCCCATGGACCCAGCCTATGGAAAGAGAACAAAAGTCACAATGTATATCCAGGTGAAGTCACAATGTGTATCCAGGTGACAAAACTATATCAAAAAGCAACTCAGTTTAGTAAAACGATAAAAGAAAACAAGAAAAGGTAAAATTATCTCATATTTCAGCTGCATACTTATCCTTAAAACTACTGTCACAGGTGCTCGAAAGTAAATAATTTATTATAAATTTCGTACCCACAACTTCAAATTGACATTGAGTATCTCAACAAATTCAATCAATCAGGTTGAAATGGAAAAACCGATGAGATATATAGATGAAGAATGTTTTTCCCAACTACACCTCAACCCTGTAGTACTCAAATGACGAAACGGCCTTGCACGCAAGAAACGTAGAACCAGGTTATGTGACACACTAATGTGAAAAATGAAAACTCTCCTACAACACAAATCAAACACACTAGACAAAAATAAATAAATAAATTCTGATATGATGGGAAGCAGGGACATCTAAAAATACAATAATATACAGTTTAATAGGTGTATTAGCCTTCAATAACATAAGATGATACTAAAAATTCAAAAGAAATAGGTGCGCTATACAGCAAACCTTACATATCAATTTAATTGCACTGCTAAGATTTATAAATGGTATCTAAAACCCAAACGCAAGTACTTCATATCAACATACACTACGTTTAGTCTGCCACAAATAAAGGAATTCATTTCACAAGAGCAAACATTGTACTGCTTATCAAATGTGTATGAAAATTAATAAGTGAAGTTTTTGGGAGTCAATCCATCGAGCATTTGCAAAGTTCACTCAATAGTCCAAATTAATATAAATATAGACATTTGGCAGTCCACTTGAGCAAGTATATTCAATCTGTGATGCACAAATGTAATTTGCATATACAACTCAGCATAACATACACAACGACTGAACAAAAAAATGAACATAGGGATGTAACTCTTGCCAAGAAATAGCATTTCAACCGTATAATCCTTTTGAGAAGAAGGTTCCAGAAAAAATATTAAAACCCTACTACACAAGTAAGACCTTAAGCCCAATGCAGACTAAGCAGTAGCAGTCCTCAAACCTCATCTAATAACAGAAGAAGAAAAAAATATTAACCACCTTGCAAAATAATATATGATTCGCAGCAACATAATACAGACTGTGCAGAGGAACTAAATTTATGAAGACCATGCTCTTTGTCAGCATACTTACAAACAGAACAAGTAAAAGAACTTAGTAAAATCATCTGGTTACTAACAATCTAACAGTGCACATATATTAAAAAGTTGGCTATTCCTCCATGGCCATTTTGCCCTTATTATTCTGTTGTTGCATCTCTGCAATGTACTCGCGGAGTCTCTCAGCTTTTTGCATCATCGAATCAATAATCTCTTCAGTCTCATCAATTATCTGCTTTGGCAAGTGAACCTCCAAGAAATCAAACCACTCACCAAGAGTCATGTTATTCAAATCAGGCCAATTCCCATCACCACTATTCACTTTCTCCTTTTTTCTCCCATCTCCAACCTCTTTCTGCAATAATTCCCTCTTTTCAGTAACACCGTCACTTTTCTTTTTCTCAACATTCCCAGTGACCGCACGAGCGTTCTTCGGGTTTCGGGTCAGGCGCGTGTTCTTCGGCTCCTCCACGGGAGCATCCAAATTCCCAACACTGGAATCAGAAACCTCAACCAAACTCCGATTCCTCGTGCTCTTGTGTTCTTCGACTTTCTCTCCCGGAGCATCATCACAAACCCTAACCACACTATTCACATTCTCATTTTCTCTCCCAGCTTCAACCTCTTTCTGCAACAATTCCCTCTTTCCAGTAGCACCCTTACTTTTCATCTTCTCAACTCCACACTCAACACTCCCAGCCACCGCACGCGCGGTCTTCAAGTTTCGCTTCGCGCGCGCCTTCTTCGGTTCCTCCACGGGAACATCCAAATTCCCAACACTGGAATCAGAAACCTCAACCAAACTCGGTTTCCTCGTACTCTTGTATTGTTCTTCAACTTTCTCCCCCAGAGCATCTTCACAAACCCTAACCACACTATTCACATTCTCATTTTCTCTCCCACCTTCAACCTCTTTCTGCAACAATTCCCTCTTTCCAGCAGCACCCTTACTTTTCATCTTCTCAACATTCTCAACTCCACCCTCAACACTCCCAGCCACCGCACGCGCGGTCTTCAAGTTTCGCTTCACGCGCGCCTTCTTCAGTTCCTCCACGGGAACATCCAAATTCCCAACACTGGAATCAGAAACCTCAATCAAACTCGGATCCCGCGTACTCTTGGGTTCTTCCCTCCCCTTCTCCTCCGGAGCATCATCGCAAACCCTAACCGCACTCCGCTCTCTGTTGGACCTCCGCGTTACACGCGCGGGTGCAGGCACGCGCGCAGGTTCAGCGTTTAGCACACTGGCGTCGCCGTTTTGGTCGAAGCTCTGAGGCTGAACCCTACCCTTGGCACCCCTAGCTCTGGGTCTGCCTCTAGCGCGTGGGGCGGGAGGAAGCGGAAGCGTGGATTGAGCGGGGGGTTGTAGGAAGAGGACGTGGATGGAGGTGAGTTCGCCGATCTTGATGGTGGAGTCGTGGTGGAGAGTGAAGGGGGTGTTGGGAGGGACGCTGGAGCCGTTCAAAACGGTGCCGTTTGAGGAGTCGAGGTCGCGGAGGACCCATTTGTTGGATTCGGTTAAGATTGAGAGGTGTTTGGAGGAGATGCCGGGGTCCTTGATGGGGAGAGTGTTGCCTTTGACGACGCGACCTATTCGAACTGCGGATCTGGGTTTGAATTCTAGGGTTTCACCTTGTCGAGGACCTTGCAGGATCTCTAGTCTCAGAATCGGAGCTTCTTCTTCTTCTTCCATTCTGCCAACAAAAAATTGCCACCTTCTTCTCCCGCCCACGCTAACTTCAAAACAATTCAAATAATAATAGCTTGGAGACTTCACAATGTCTTTCACATTTTGAGTGTTTTTGGTCCGTTAGATATGATGATACATTTAAAATTAACGGTTCAGATTATTTTACTTTTTTCACCCTTTCCCTTCGCTTTTTCGCACTGATCTCCATCGCACCCCAACCACTTCCCTCCCATGCAAACAGCAGCAATGCAACAAAATTGTATGTTTCAGAGAAGTGTTGGCGACCGTGATTGGGGTTGATATCCAAAAATGGACTCGCCGGAGCTTCAGCCACTACCGCCGCCAGCAAGACAAACCTTGAGGCTTAATGAGGAGGCGGTGGCGGAGACGAAAAAATGGGGCAAAGGTAAACTGGGAAAAGGAGTAAAAATTAAAGAACAAAAATAAAATAAAAGTATCTAATGCTGTAAATTAGAGCTGTAATTAAGTCCAATTGGATTAAATTTGAATATGTTACTTCGATGAAATTGGATTTGATTATTTTCTAAAAGAAAAATAACTCGATCAAAAATAAATCAAATTAAATTGATTCAATTTTTTTTTTTATAAATTCATAATAGATATGTGATATTCTGTTAGAAATGTAATGTTATAAATTCATACAAATATTAGGCTAAAATAGTATTTTAGTCACTTATAATAATTATTTGTTTTAATTTAATCTCACTTTTATTTTTTGTTTTAATTTGGTTCCTAATAAATTAATTGGTTGCAATGTCAGACTTCCGTCCAAATTATTTAAATAAAGTTAATTATTGGTCACGTGGATGCCACGTAGATGCACAAGTGGATCCTGATTTTTTTGAAAACACCTGGAACCAGAACGGGCCGTTCTGGGTGCACTCTTGGTGTGTTAATTTTGCATTCGGAACGACCTGTTCTAGGTGCAAAATTAACACACTAAGAGTGCAACCAGAACGGGCCGTTCTGGTCCCAGGTGTTTTAAAAAAATTGGCATCCAGGTGGATTTGGTACAAAGCATTTCAAACACTGGATTTAATAATATTGTCAATGGAAATTGATAATTTCAATTGTTAAACAGTTGGGCTATACAGTATATCATTAAGGATAATGCAGTGTATCACTAAAGACAATGGTAGCAGATTTTATTTCATTGTTAGTCAAACTAAACTGAACCACTTACTACCAAATTAACACTATACAGTAAAGGATGAAATGACATGGTATTTTTTCTTGAAGTCATTAACGATGTATCCTAATAACAAAAACCTGTTCTTAAAGAGATAGAACCTGAAGTAAAGGAAGAGGATACACAAGACTAACATTTCACCACACAACCACATGCAATGACGGATCTAAGTTAATCATAGTGGGGGCACTTGCCCCCACTAAAATTTTTTTCATTCTTTTTTTATATATAAAATATTAATAATTTTATAAAATATATATTATTAATTATATTTTAATTATGTTGTTATATCTAATATAATAAATACATT